GGGGGTTCTTTCTTTGTTGTTTTGTTGTCGTGTTTTTCTACGTTGCATTTTATAATGACACTGTGCAAGAAGTCAACCTGTCTAAGACAGCCACTTTTCCCCTAACAAAGATGGGTGGTGTTTTCAGTTAAGCTCGAATGTATAAAATAATCCTGCAGTTGAAGCTGCTTCAATGGCCACCAGTATAAGACCATCACCTGTATAAGACCATCACCTGTATAAGACAATCACCTGTATAAGACAATCACCTGTATAAGACAATCACCTGTAAACGAACGGCCTCTTCCTATTCCCCCTTTAAATTAAAAGGTGTTTTGTTTTGGTGTGGGTTTCTTTGGTGCGGGGGTGGGGGTGGTTTTGTTTGTTTTGTTTGTTTTTTGTTTGTTTTTTGTTTGTTTTCTGTGTCTATTTCCACATTATTTACACTGCGTAAGATATCAATCTCTTTAAGGCAGCCACATTTCTTCTAAACAATGATGGGCCTGTTTAGATAAGCTGGGACTGTATTTGTGATTTTTGCTGTGTCCTCCCAGGCAGTATCGGCGGTTTGACCGGCCTGCCCCAGGCGATGTCCAGAGGTGACGTCATCAAGTGAGTGAGATTCGGAGGTGTCTATAGTTTACCTAGAACAAGATTCTGAGCTGGCTATAGTTTACTTAGTATGTCATCGCTTGGAGTCATAAGTTTTGGAATATGTTGTCACCGAGAGATGACATCGGTCTTGTACTAGGTAAACTACAGACATTCTATCGTCCCCCGTCTTCGTTTTCGTGTTGCTTTTGTTTTTGTTTGCTTGTTGGGTTTAAATGTTTGTTTGTTGTTTTTTAAATTATATCTTACTCTTATTAAAACTCAAAGATATTGGGTGTATGAAAGCAGAATCTCAAAGGAAAATAAACAATACATTCACAGACAGGAGAAAGAGGTTAAAACGGCAGCGGGCCATGAATGGCTGATGTCTCTATAAATAAATGTTTGATAGTCTCGTCTGATAATACCAGGGGGATGTTGTTTGATGATTTTAAAGAAAATTAAAGCTAGACTTTTTTCAAACATATAACAAAAACAAAACAACAACAACCTCTCTGCTTGTCTCTCCGACCAGGCACCTGATCTGTAGTTGTTGGTTTTTTAAATTGTTTTATTTGTGTGTGTGTGTGTTGGGGGG